ATATATATATATATATATATATATATATATATATATATAGGGGTTAGGGGGGAAGGGATTGTTAGTAATGTGGACTACCAGTTCCATTGCTATCTATCTTTTCTTTCTCTACTATTATCCCTCACTGGTGCTCAGCTGGTGTATACCGTTAATGCAGGTCGAGTTACCATTTAATTATCATCCATAAAAAAAATCTTTGGGTTACTCTATTGTAATGTTCATAGTGATATCAACTTTTTTAAATTTATAAATATTTTTAGTTTACGTAACATACTGATAATACGAGTATAGCTTTTTATAAGTGAAAGAATTTTAAAATTAGTTGAATGGTGTTTTAGTTTATCTATTAAAAAAATATTTCCTCTTTATAATACTTATAGGTACATATAGACGACAGACGTTTAGGTACGATTTTCCATCAACTGGGTCGTCAGCTGGCTTGACATTCCAAGCTGTATAAAAAACTGCAAATGAAAACAGTGTCATTTGATTCGCCTTTAGCGGGGGATGGTATTCCCATCTCCCCACCTCCCGTCCTTGGCATTTAAAACCTTGATATAATGGTACCTACAGCTGCAATATGTCAATGGGTCATAATTTGACATTTCTAAAATTACTCGTCATAATTTTTATTTACTTGAGAGTTCCCTCTTGTTGGAATAACTAACTCATGTATTCTCCTTTAACTGGCTCTATTTCAGGCCATATTTGTTTGTATGTAACACTTTATTGTAAACTAAAAACAGTAAACTCTTAAATTATAGGAAACAGAATTCTTAAGAAAAGAATTAGTACAAAAACAGACTCATCCCATAAAAGGGCATTCTTACAACTTTTAAATGTCTGATAGAAATTGTGAATTGGTAGAGAGAATATATATATATACATAATTTAAAACAAATAGAAAAATGACAGACCTTGTCCTTGACTTTTCTATACTACATGATATCGTACCATAATATAATTCAAGACACATTTATTTACTTTCTAGTATAATTAATGATTTAATGGGTTATATCCTTATCTATGGAGCACATACATGGTCTTTGACACACGCCAAAAGTCTAAACTCGGGGTAACTCAAGGGGCAATGAAACGCAGTATATTGGAAATACAATTAATCAATAAGGTCCGAAACACTATACTACGCTCTCGTAGAAAAATCGCTGATACAAAATAAAAAGTGGCAAGTGGGCAGAATATGTGAGTCGCATGGCAAGCGGTAGGTGGGCTAAAAGCAACACATACTGGCTATTTGAAAATCAAAAATGAAATTGCGGATGACTTAGATAATTCAGAGGCGACCAGTTCCATAAAGAATTAAACGCCGTTCGAATTGCAAGCAGTTGGGAAAGGTCTTTGCTCAGTAGTGTGAACTCAACTGGTAATATTATGATCAACACAGCATACACTGTGGCACTTCTAGTTCTCGTAATGTGTTACCGTTTCTTATGTATACGTTGCTAGTATTGATGAAAAATGACAATCTATTAGGAGTAGGTACTATAACTTGCTTAAATTTGCAAAAATTTCATAGACATACCACCATTAAACCGAAAGACAGCTTATAAATACAGCTGGGGACGAATGTGACAGACATTTTTTCCATTTGGTTTTGACAAACTTTTATTTTAATGCATGAAAATTTGAAAATGGAACTCCGCTTACTGTTATACTGTCGTGATATCAGTGGCGGGATTGAAGATATATCAGTTGACGTATCGTGACAAATTGACTTGGAACAATGGTTTCCGAGAGAGATCGTGTGGCGGTCGACCTGACTGGGTGTTAGTAATACGTCTGCTATTTATTTTTTGATGGGGGAAAATGATATGGTAACCTCGCCTGCGCTAACGAGATACGCTTGCGGAGCACCAGTGAAGGGTGATAGATGAGAATGAAAACAGGCTAGTTAGCTCATCATGATGAATTTATCAGGAATTAACCATGATAGTTTCCAGGAAGAACCGCGAAGAGGTCGACCTGGTTGGATATATTGCTAGCAATGGGATTCTCAGTCTCCGTTACTAACAATCCCTTTCCTCCCTACGTCTGCTATTGATACAAGGTCTCTTTAGTGAGATAAAACAAGACTCCAGTTATGTATCTATAGTCACAATGTTTTAATGAAAACTGTCGGGTGGGTGAATTGCGTAACGGCAGCTTGGTGACGGTGTGAGGCCCGCGCCCGCCGCCGCCCTCTCGCGGTCGATAACGCGACCTTCCACAATCAACTATACGATGCACTTGTATTGGTTGCTGTTACGTAACTTACCACGGTCACGTCGATAATGCGGACTTTGTTTGGTAAAACTTGCTTTTTTTTTTATAAAAAAAATATTTTTTTTAACACATTCTATTTCATTATCTTTTCTTACTCGTTTAAAAAAAAGTAGATAAAAAAGTCACAAAAATATATAAAAAGACTGGTTATTTGTGATAAACCTAAATATGACATTTACTCTAAACTAATTTTTTACAGCAGTACACACATGGACAGAACAGAGTATACTGTTTCGCCCATAATACCCCCATGCATGCTATTCCTGAGGACTCAAGTGTTATTCCTCTGTACCCTGTAAATTCACTGTCATATCCCAACCTTCAAACCGAAACAAAGCCATGCAAACACAACTGCTTCACGGTAGAAACACGAATGGGATAGAGGTGGCCAAGTAAACGACTTTTGTACAAAGTCTCCCTCTGGTAAAGAGTAAAGATTTTTTGTTTACAATGGATACAAGTAAATCTAAAAAATACTTCATTTACCTATAGAAAGCAACATTATCAGTAACAGAATATGTGTTATTTAAAAAAAAAACTGGGCGAAGCCGGAGTAGGTCATTAGAAATTTATAATTTTATAAATATAATTAGAAATTTGAAAATACGTGTGAGTTATAAAAGATTTTCTTGATAGTATGTGTAATTTTCTTTAATAATAAATTCATTAATTAAAAAAATATTAAATTAATGATTTAACAAAATTAAATGCATTTTCTGCTAATTTTAAAACGTAAAAAAATTGTAAAGGTGTTTGTATGACACTTTTAAATAGCTCAACGAACTTAAGACATAGAATACTTTATATACTTGATCATCCGGGCAAAGCCAGATTGAGACAGCTAGAATATTGTTATCGACCTGGGAGCCATTTGTAATGTACTTATATTAATACAAGGTGGACTGTAAGCTGTTAACAAAATAAAACAAGCAGGCCAATACAATAGGCGCCAAGAAGTCTGCGCTAAAGGTAGGTGTTGACGAAAATAGTACGTCTCGTAAGAAACCATAAAGACTTCTGTATTTATTTTGCATTGAAGGTACTTGTATGTAATTTTTTATTTTTTTTATACAATTTAGAATGGCAAACACGCTGACGGTCCACCTGATGGAAAGTGGTCCCCGTCGCCTATAGACATGAGCAGTACCATGGACATAACAGAGTATACTGTTTCGCCCATGATACCCTCCATGCGTTGCCATTCCTGAGGACTCAGGTGTTACTCCTCTGTACCCTGTAAATTCACGCCATAACCCACCCTTCAAACCGAAACACAGCCATGCAAACACAACTGCTTCACGGTTGAAACACGAATGGGACAGAGGTACCCAAGCAATCGACTTTTGTACCAAGTCTCTTACTAAATTACGACGTTCTACGTCTAAATTACAAATTCACCGGTGATTTGAATAAATACAATGTCATTTTACTATAAAACCATTTTCATGCTGTTATCACGAAATACAATACTTTGCGGTTCCAGGTACGATCTCATTCAGAACTGTTTATAAACGTTACTGTAGAAATATTTCCTAGTAAAATGTAATTTATAAAATCAGCAGCTGTATTGTACCTTTACTTGTGTATTTAATTTGTATTTACATATATCTAGATAAACATATCGTAAATATTTGATAACGCATACCTGCACAATTTATTTTAAAATCTTTATTTCTTAGCCAAATTTATATGTATATCTTCTATGCTTACAGAATTTAAAATTGGGTTCCTCAAAAAAAAATCGACATCAATTGTGTGTTGTTACTTTAGGTGACAATTCTGACTTTCATCTGATAGGTTATCAGCTTATTTATGATTCCAAATTGGAAAGAAATATTTTTTCTTTCCAAATATCTGAATTAACGGAAAACAAAAGACATCCTTTCTCATTTTTATAGACACTTATTTTCAAACACGCTCTTGCATTACAAAAATCATTAATGTAGTATGCAGGGAGTTCCGTGTGAGTTTAGTATGAATTTACATTACTATGTCAATTTTACATTGAAAAGTATTTAGCTGCGCCTCTAGCGGATAATTTTGGAAACTCAGATTCCCACACAAACTTATCGACGCAGTTGTAACTGAAATCTTTGTAGAACTCACACAAGCTACTTTGAACACATTCGATGAATTTTACGCATTCGCTTCATATTATTCGCGGTCCCTACACTGGGGGTAGGAGGCTTCGAACTCCCCAAAAGGGGCGGGTGTTACGCAAGCATGACCTAGATCGTAGTAGGCCAGCGGAGAACTCTAGAGTTTTAATGGGTACTTTGCAGTGGGAAGTTTCCGTTTCAAGATTAATGTTATAAACCGTTTGAGAACATAAATAGGTGCCTTTTGAAATAAACTATTATTTAATATACATTTAAAATGAACAATTCGGTTTGTGATTCTATATCATGGCTACTTGTGTAATAGGTACTTATATAACTATGTATTAGGAGGGGGGAAAGGGATTGTTAGCAATGGAGTTTGACAGCCCCATTGCTAGCAATATGCCCTATTATGTCGACCTCCACGTGGTTCCCCCTGGAAACTATCGTGAACAATTCTTGTTGAATTCGTCACGATGGGCTAACTGACCTACTTCATTCCTATTTAGCTCTCTCTCATTCGATAGCGCAGGCGGGGTTATCACATCATTATCATCCATTATAAAAAAAAAAAAACAATGTATTAGGGGCTTAGAAAAAATACTTTTTAATACTCACATGTAATAATTGAAGGCGATGGCTATATACCACAGCATGAATACAATAATCCCTTCTGCCATTGTATGATGCGCTAATTAGGGGCTGTGAACAAGATTTTTTAGAACATTTTAATTTAAACAGATTTCTATAATAAAAAAATACTTGTTGCAGTAAGAGCAAATTTAAAATTAAACATTAAAACGCCTGCGAATAGCAAGTTAGAGATTTCTATTTTAGCAGCAACGCCTGCGAATAGCAAATTCTAGATTTCTATTTGGGCAGGATTGCTTACGCGTGACTGGTAGGTAATAAAACTAATTTGTTTATTTAGCCTCTCATGACATTTTCATATTTGTAAACCTACTATTGTTTAAAATCAGCTAACTAAACCAAAATACTGCACAATATAAAGTCAAGAAAATTGGCATAAAGTGTTGCCAGACTCATATTAAAATGCTTTCCTATTTTTTTAATAAGCATGTTAACTCTTTGGCTCGGGGGGAAAGGGATTGTTAGTAATGGAGACTGAGAATCCCATTGCTAGCAATATACCCAACCAGGTCGACCTCCTCGCGGTTCTCCCTGGAAACTATCATGGTTAATTCCTGATGAATTCATCATGATGGGCTAACTGGCCTGTTTTCATTCTCATCTATCACCCTTCACTGCTGCTCTGTTATTATACCATTTTCACCCATCAAAAAAAAATTACCCGCCTGTCACCATTGCTAGCAATATTAGGTCGACCTCCATGTGATTCCCCCCTGGAAACCATTGTGAATAATTCTTATTGAATTCGTTACGATGGGCTAACTCACCTGTTTCATCTTCACCTATCATCCTTTACTGGTGCCCCGCCAGTGTATACCAATAGCGCGGGTGGGGTTACCATTACATTATCACCCATTAAAAAAACTCCCTGTCAAGCGTGGCAAATACTGGCAATACCTCCTAGTAGAGGGAGACTTATGTTCAACAGTAGACAGTTTACGGCTGACATGATGATCCAAAATGATCTGACATCCATGTATGTAATCATAATCTCAAACAAGTTAATAAGACAGAGAGACTTTGGAATAAAATAGGCTATATTTATCAAAATAAATGAGCTTGAAGCATATAGAAGGTAGTAAGGAGAACTTTACTTTTCAAAAACTTAAATACCTTACCTTAATACTATTTGAAACTTAGATTTATTGAAATTAGAAACATTTTGAGTGAATATTTTGAACATTTACGAATACTGCTACATTATTACATTGAGATTTTTGGTGGAATTGTTTACAATGTTCTGATACAATTGACACTGATTTTTGGCAGATAATCATTAAAAAAAGTTCGAAACAAGAAGTTTAATTGTAAATATAAACCTCAAATGGATAGTGCTATGCTTAGATATAATCTGTTACAGTTTTAAATTTACTTTTTGTGTACTAACTCTATTCCACGACTTTCCCCACGTGAATCAGTACATGAAGTATCCTATGTATTAAGTTAGGATGTAACCTCCTTGTGTACTAAATTTTATTTAAATCCGTTCAATAGTTTTTGATTGAAAGTATAATAAACATACACTATTTTTTTATTTAATTAATTTTATCGACTAAAAGAATGTATCGTCATAGTCGTAGAATACTGACGGATCTTTATATGTAATATCCGTCAGATCCGTCAGTATTCTACGACTATGACGATATGGTACAAGGAGACTTCATTATTGGGATAAGAAAGAGAATAACAGTTAATAATGTATACATGTATAATATACAATACATAATAATATATAAATAAAATATAAAAGATGATGACTAGTTACTATTAGGTGATATTTTTTAACGTGTATTTGGAAGCTTTTGAATACCTTCAGGCAGTGTGTAAGAAAGAGGTTGTACACGGCCATAGACCTACAGCTCAATTAAATAGAGAAATAAACTGACTTACGTCTTGTCACTAAAATAATCGTTGTAACATTGCACGTAATAAAATATTTAAATATTAAATAATATTATTGGTCTCCTGTAAAACTCCACATCCATCAGGTTATGGGCCAGCAACGCACAGATGGCGAATACAAAAAATCAAGTTGGATTTGAACATCTTAATAAAACAAATTATGATACATGGAAAATACAAGCAGAAGCTGTACTCATAAAAGCAGGACTTTTTACATGTTTATCATCAACCGATATTAATGCAGAAAAAGATTTATTGGCCAAAGCCGAACTGCTATTAATAATTTCGCCGTCCCAACTTAAATTAGTAAAATCATGCAAAACAGCAAAAGACGTATGGGAGACCCTTAAAAACGCTTACGAAAGTCGTGGACCTGCACGAAAAGCAACATTATTAAAAAAGTTACTACACAAAAAAATGAAACATGATGAATCCGCCAGAGATCATATAAATGAATTCATCGACTTGGTGGATAAATTAAAAGACATGGACATCAGCATCAATGAAGACCTCCTGAGCATAATACAGTTTGCCAGATTCCTAGGAGAACTTCAGAGTGGCTATCGAGTCTCGTGATAAACTTTCGTACCTCGAAGAACTCAAAACGAAAATTATAGAAGAAAGTGAAGCTCGTTTAAATAAAAATCTGGAAAAGGAGGAAGAAGAAGAAGCATTTTATGGAGGGAAACATAAACAAAAATCTTATCGATTTCAAAAATTCAAAAATAAGAATTCAAATGGAAATAGAATACAATGTGACAACTGTCACAAATTTGGACACAAAACAAGTGATTGTTGGTTTAACAAAAATGTAAGAAATAAAAATGTAAATTTATATTGCACTGAATCTTGTTATACAATAGAAAATAAAAATGATAATAAATGGTGCATTGATAGTGGGTGCACATCCCACATGTGCAATGATAAAACTCTTTTCGTGTACATAAATAAAGAAGAAAATGGAACACTTAAGTTAGCCTCGAATAAAACAGAAAAGATAGAAGGCAAAGGGTTAGTAAAGATAAAAATTAAAAATGAGACAGTAAATTTACACAATACCTTATATATTCCAGAGTTATCAACTAATTTGATATCCGTAGCACGAATTACTGAAAATGGTTTTAACGTATTATTTACAAAGAATAATGCAATTATTAAAAATCCAAATGGAAAACCAATAATTACAGCAAGGAAGGAAGATAAACTTTATTATGTGAATGCAAATTTAAGCACAAAAGAAAAAGCAAATCAAGCCTATAAAGAAGAATCAGATATAGACATATGGCACAAAAAACTAGGACACTTAAATGAATATGATTTAAAACGAGCCATGAGAAATAACATAATAAAAGGTATTGACTTTAATGAGAATGACAAATTAAAAGAATGTGAAAGTTGCGTAAAAGGAAAAATGACGAATTTACCTTTTCCGAAGGAAAGACCATAAGAAACAAAATCTCCTCAAAAACTACATACTATACACTCAGATGTGTGTGGTCCAATGCCCGTAAATAGTAACGGAGATCACAGATACTTCGTCACCTTTACGGATGAATACAGCAGATATGGCAGAGTCTATTTTCTGAAAAATATAAATGAAGTTTTAGGAAAGTTTATAGAATATAAAAAGGAAATGGAAAGATATACAGGAAATAAAATAAAAATCTTGCAGACAGATAACGGAAAGGAATATGTTAATAATGAATTCAACACGTACTTAAAGGAAAATGGCATAGCTCGACGCTTATCAGCTCCTTATACGCCCCAACATAATGGGTTAGCTGAACGGAGAAATAGAACTCTCTTGGAAAAAGCTCGATGCATGTTAATCGAATCAAAAGTACCAGAAAGTTTTTGGGCCGAAGCTATACACACGGCGAATTATATAACGAATAGAGTACCTTCCAAGGCCACAAATGGAAAAACACCTTTCGAGATATGGGTTGGTTACACTCCATCAGTGAGACATTTCAGATGTTTTGGAGTAAAAGCTTTTGTATTAAATAAAAGAAATTTAAGAAAATTTTCACCCAGAGCCAAGAAAGGATTTTTTGTCGGCTACTCCGAAAATACAAAAGGCTACAGAATATGGGTTTCAGAATTAAAAAGAGTCGTTATAAGTAGAGACGTAAAATTCTTAAAAGATTTATATTACGAAGAAATAAAAACAAATGAAAATGAAGAAGGTATTAAGTCGTATATACAATTAAATTCAGAACAAATAGATACGAAGCAAATAGATGAACAAATTCAACCTATAGTTTCTGATCAAAATGATGACGATAATACCACAAATGAAGAACCCATAACGCTAACTGAGGAAGAAGATAATCTTAGTAATATAAAACCCAGAACGTCACAACATAAAAGACCACAAAGAGATAAAAAGAGACCAGCATGGTTGAAAGATTACAAAGTAGAAAATGATACAGATGAGAGCATGCATGTGACAGAAATGGCTTACCTCGGTGAACACGATGAAAATGATACAGGTTGGCACGATGCTATCAAAGCTGAAATAAAAGCACACATTAAAAACGGAACGTGGACAATAGCAAAGAAAGAAAAAGGTATCAATGAAGTAGATTACAAAATGATATTAAGAATAAAAACGAAAGCAGATAACACTGAAATAAAGAAGGCTAGGTTAGTAGCGCGGGGATTCACACAGCAACCTGGTGTAGATTATACTGAAACATTTGCCCCCGTTGTGAAACTAAGTTCTGTTAGATCAGTCATTAGTTCAGCTATAGAGGATAATCTAAAATTAGATCAAATAGATGTCACTACAGCATATCTTAATGGAGAGCTAGAAGAAAATATACAAATGAAAATGCCTCCTTACTTAGAAAAATATGTAATGGAAATTATGGTTGACGAAAGTAGTCAAAATGATTTAACATTCTTCAATAAGGCTAAACGGATGCTAGAAGATATTAGAAATATTAAAGAAGAAAAAGTTTGCAAGCTTCAGAAAGCTTTATACGGATTAAAACAATCCGGACGCTAATGGTATAAAAAATTAGATGCAGAATTAAAAGATATAGGTTTTGAATCATGTAATGCAGATCCTTGCATATACCTATTGAAGAAAGGAGGAGATAAAATAATAATAACAGTCTATGTTGACGATTTAATTATAGCATATTCAAGTTCAGAAATTTTAAAAGAAGTAAAGAAAGCACTAGAGAGAAAGTTCGAAATGAAAGACATCGGAGAGTTGAAATACTGTTTAGGTATAGAATTTAAACAGGATAAAGGAAAAATTACTATGAGTCAAAAGAAATACATTAAAGATATCCTTAAGAAATTCTCCATGTAAGATGCAAAACCTGTGGCAACTCCTATGGAGACAGCATTAAAATTAAAGAAAGAAGAACATCCAGATTCGAACTTACCCTATAGAAACTTGATTGGAGCCCTCATGTACCTGTCAGTTGCCACGCGACCAGACATAGCTCATGCTGTTAGCTATCTTGGTCAATTCAATGCGTATTATGGAAAAGAACACTGGGCAGCTGCAAAGCGCGTAATTAGATACTTAAAAGGTACAATAGATTTAAAATTAACATTCCACAAGAATGGAGATAAAATTTTAAAGGGTTACGCAGATGTCGACTGGGCATCGTGTCCATTAGATAGACGGTTATATACCGGCCATTGTTTTATAAAGAACGGTGCGGTCATAAGTTGGGAGTCAAGAAAACAAAGGACTGTAGCACTCTCAACGGCGGAAGCCGAGTACATGTCTTTGAGCGAATGTACAAAAGAGGCTGTTCATTTGAAAAATATTCTGACTAATTTGGGTTACTTCAAACAAAAAGGAATTACTATTCACAACGACAATCAAGCCGCACAACAGTTAGCAATGAACCCTATTATTAGCGCCAAATCCAAACATATCGATATCCGCCAACATTTTATAAGAGATATGGTGCAACAAAATGTGGTGTAACTTTCATACCTAGGAACAGGGAATATGATAGCGGACATCTTTACAAAAGCTTTGCCTCGTCCTAAATATGAATACTGTCGCCAAGAGCTGGGACTCCTACAGTAGGTAGATACTATGCCGTGAGGAGGAGTGTAAGAAAGAGGTTGTACACGGCCATAGACCTACAGCTCAATTAAATAGAGAAATAAACTGACTTACGTCTTGTCACTAAAATAATCGTTGTAACATTGCACGTAATAAAATATTTACATATTAAATAATATTATTGGTCTCCTGTAAAACTCCACATCCATCACAGTGCATTCCAGATTAGTAAAACTTGGATGATGAGGGTGTCCACCCATCAATCCAACCTTTCACACGTAGAATATCAACCGTGAAGCAGTTGTGTTTGCATGGTTGTGTTTCGGTTTGAAGGGTGGGATATGGCGTGAATTTACTGGGTACAGAGGAATAACACCTGAGTCCTCAGGAATGGCAACGCATGGGGGCATCATGGGCAAAACAGTATATTCTGTTATGGCCATGGTACTGCTCATGTCTATAGGCGACGGTTACCACTTTCGATCAGGTGGATCGTCAGCTTGTTTGCCATTCTAAGTTGTATAAAAAAAAAAGATCATTTTATAAGAAATATTTTAATAGTAATATGTAAATTTTACTTACCGTTATTTTTCAAACCACTTTTAGATATGAAAGTAAAAAACTATGTGGTCACGGTAAAGATAGGTAATATTTTATGTCACAGATCATGAAGGTAGTATTTTACTCGCATTTATTTCGAAAGCTTTGACTCGCATATTTTAATAGCTGGCAATAAATTGAAAATTTAATAGAGAACAAGTATTGTTTTCTGTTGGTACTGAGTAGAGATGCACAAGACAATGATAATGTCTCGTGCATATTCAGATTGGTTATTGTTTCTTTTTAATCACATTGGATATAGTATAGAATTCCCAAAGAGGAAATAAATATAAGTAAATTTTTTTTATAATATGGATAAAAAAAAAACATTACACCGACCCCAAATAATAATTGCGATAAGGGTATGAAGATGATGATGAATATAGTATAGAATTCGAATAAAGGTCGAGGGACATATTATTTAATATATAATAATCCTTAATCTTTGGTACCAGAAGTGTTCTTTTATAGTGACCTGTCCAGTTCTAGAGTAAGAGCGTATGGAGTATGCGACCCTGGTCTCAAGAGGCTCTATAGTCTCTTCTCAGCAAATGGAATCTCTCTTTCCCATCATCAAATCATTAATTCCTTTACGAAGTTGCTTTATTCACTTCTATAGTCCTTTTTTCTTCCTCAATTCTTTTTCCCCATACTACCGACAAGCATTTCTAAAGAAGGTTGACATCAGGCAGGTAAATTTTATTGGTGAAAATAGAATGGTAACCCCGCCTGTTTTACGGGATACGCTGGCGGAGCACCAGTGAAGGGTGATAGATGAGAATGAAAACTGGCCAGTTAGCCCATCATGATGAATTCATCAGGAATTAAACATGATAGTTTCCAGGGGGAACCGCGAGGAGTTCGACCTGGTTGGGCACATTGCTAGCAATGAGATTCTCAGTCTCCATTACTAACAATCCCTTTCCCCCTCTTTCGCACATATTAAAATATGTGTACACAGCGGATTTAATGCCCGATGGCTCTACCAGTCAACCGTTATACTAAAGTGAATGGCGGTGAATAGATTAAAAAATATTGTAAATAGATATTTTGAGAGATAACAAATTATGTATCTAAGTTAGCAATAGATCCCATCAGGTCGATCTCTACCCGGTATCCCCCCAAAACTATCGTGATTAAATTATTGTTGAAATCCTCAAGATGGGTTAACTGACCTACCTTTTCATCAACACTTATCTCTCACAGGTGCCCCACCAGCGTATACCGTTAGCGTCGACAGCGTCATAATTATGTCGTCATCCATTAAAAAAAAATGAAAGTCCAATTATTTCAAACGATATAATTATTGATAACAATATAAAAATGTATAATGAATAAAAATACATTTAACACTAAATTTTTTTAACGTTTTTTTATGTATGTACAATATGTAACATTCTGCATTCCTGCCGGTTGAGCAAATTTTCTGCTTTTCAAGTGTGTTTACCATCCGCTTTTAATTATATGTAGTATACATATAAAAACTAAAAAATAATTATATATTTATAGATATATGTAATTTAACAATTTTAAGTAGCTGCAATATATATAATATTAATACAATATATACCATATTTTTCAAGACATGTTTTAATAAATGCCACCTTCATTTATAAAATGCAATTGATTAACATTACTATAATTTGAGAATTATTCCCTATTTTAATATAAAAAGTTAAAAAAATATTTTCTTATTTGCAGGGTTGTTGATTTAGTTCAGTATCAATTTTAATTCTGTTACTATTGCAATCAAACATTCTTGTTCTATTTATGTTATATCGTCATAGTTGTAGAATACTGACGGTTCTTTATATGTAATCTTTGTCAGATCCGTCAGTATTCTACAACTATGACGATATATATTTCATTGTTAATAACACTTATTTGTAATTTTAAATGCATTTTAATTAAAAATATCACTTTCGAAAATATTAACATTATAACGACCCGTGACAACCATGACCGTATGTGTTTTAAATAAACTATTGTGGATCTCGAAAAGGCCCCTAGACCGAAAAATTCTATGGTCTATATCGTCATAGTCGTAGAATACTGACGGATCTTTATATGTAATCTTTGTCAGATCCGTCAGTATTCTACGACTATGACGATATTATCTATGTACTTATGGGTTTGAAACTAAAATACACAGATTCCAGGGTCAGGATTAACAGTAATAATTAACAACTGGTTTGATATATCTAAAGAAGCGAGGACTGTAGGACATAGCTCTGGTTATTCAATTTACACATGGACAATTGTGCGTCAAATTTGAAAGAGCGCAATTTTAAGATAGAGTATATAGGCAAAGACGAGTAATAAAAAAAATTTTGTTATGATTTTGACGCCCTCATTTTTGATGCAGCGGATCTCTCCCTCATGATGGCAAATTTTGGCCATACTTTTGCTCTTTCTTCACACCTTGTACATGTTCTTAATAGGATCTATTATATAGCTCTAGGTTTGATCACGTCACGAGTCAGTCGCCATGTTGTCACTTTAGCTGGCAGTCACGAGGAAACCTCTTCGTTGTTTTTCGATGTACTGCTTGCGGCAGTCCATGTCGTCTGCGGGACGGTCGTACGGTTTCCACACCGGCTCGCCGATGAAGAAACGCTTAGCTCGGATGTAGTTCTGCAATATTCGAAGATAGTATGTATTTGTTTATAACTTTATATTTTGGTGACTTTAAATGCAACCTGCTGTTTCTAATTATATGCAACATTATTATTATCGTATTAACCACGTATTAGCAACTGTCCACTGTGGGGGGAAAGGGATTGTTAGTAATGCGGACTACCAGTCCCATTGCTAGCAATATACCATGTCACGTCGACCTCCACATGGTTCCCCCTGGAAACTATCATGGTTAATTTTTTATGAATTCATCATGATAGGCTAACTGGCCTGTTTTCATTCTCATCGATCACCATTCACTGGTGCTCCGCCAGCGTATGCCGTTGGCACAAGCGGGGTTACCATTCCATTTTCCACCATAAAAAAAAAACTATCCACTGCATTGCACTCCAGTCTCTAGTCATTACCAGTCGGATGAAAAATCTTTTTTGCATTGGATAGCTCATTTTTTGACGAATGTTCTAGAACCATTTCTTATAAGGCTATTTAATAACATCACGATATAATCACGAGCGAATCCGGGAGCTACAGCTAGTAAACAATAATATAATAAAATTGCTTTTTAATCATCATATCATATCAGTCCTTAACTGTCCACTGCTGAACATAGGCCTCTAGAGAGGCCTATGTTCAGCAGTAATGGCAAAACCCCCCTTTATAGATAAAGGGGGGTTTTGCCATTAGTTGCTATGCTTAGCAGGCGGGATGGCCACCGCAGTTAGGCTTTGGTGATGTTTTAAGAGTGTAGCTGCTGGCCATCTCTCGATCTTTAAGTCGCTTTTGTGACACCCACGAGAAAGGTGTAGCCTATTTTATTTTTTTTATACAACGTAGAATGGCAAGCAATCTGACGGCCCACCTGATAGAAAGTGGTAACTGTCGCCTATAGACATGAGCAGTACCACGGACATACCAGAGTATACTGTTTAGCCCATGATACCCCCCATGCATTACCATTCCTGAGGACTCAGGTGTTATTCCTCTGTACCCTGTAAATTCACGCCATATCCCAACTTTCAAACCGAAACACAGCCATGCAAACACAACTGCTTCATGGTAGAAACACGAATGGGACAGAGGTACCCAAGCAATCGATTTTTGTACAAAGTCTCCCTCTGGTAAAAGGTGTGTGGTATGGTAAAAGCCTCTGTTCCTACGTATAATAAATCTAAATTTATATATATTTTTTAAAATGCCTAAAAAGTTTATAATAGACAATGCAATTTAAGAACTTAATATCCCAATTAAGCAGATGTGTGTTAGAATGTAATGCGAACTAACATTTGTGTCCAACGTGAACCTATGGTAGATGCCGCTGGGTATGACGATCATATCCCCGGGGTAAACGGCGATACGGATCCACCGCTCGGCGTCATCACGCACGTCAAAGTAGCCAGAGCCCTCTACCACGAATCTGTAATTTGAGCATTGTACATTTTATTAAAATATTTATTTATTTTACGAAATAAATAATATAATATTTTTGTATAAGCTTTATTGTACAATCATATTTAAAACAAATAACAGGTTTTTTTTATACCACTGAGGTGACAAACAAGCATATGGCCCACCTGATGGTAAAACAAAAGATGACAAAGTCTTCTATCTAATAATCTATCTAAATATATTATATATATAAAAGACAATACACAAAAATAAATAAAAGAACAGAATGATATTGTACCTGAGAATAATAGAACACAAAACTGATTCATATGTGAGGATGTGGACGGTACTGTACAATAAAAATAACACTGTGCTGAGGGACTGTGGTTCTTTGACAAACAAAAACTGATTTAAACTAAGGACAAAGGACAAAAATTTACGGAAATTTGAAATAAACCAATAAGATCGTTACAACAAATGGCAAAAAGTGGAATGAAAAATGAGAAATGAAGAAAATATAGTAGTAAAGAGTGAGGAAAACTTAGAAGGAAATAAAATTAGCTAAATAAACCTGGAAATTAATATCCGGGAACAAGCTGCAAATATCTATAGTCCTTGTATGTAAATAATAATATTTATTTATACGTAATAAAATATTAAATATGATACTCAAATGGATACTAAGACAATTTTTTATCGCCTTCAGTGTAAGGGACAATAGATTGTATGTATGGTGTTGGGTTTCTACAGATGTTCTTTTTTCTCTTAAATAATAAAAAGGCTATAGCAACCTGTATTAGGATAAAGCATGTGGACTTGATTTTCAGCAAAAATTGGTAACAAAGTCGTATTACAATACCTAGCTGTCATATGTTGTCTTATCTTTGTTCAATAAGAAATGTAGCATGAGTTATGAAAATCTGTACTATTGTGAATTTAAAGATAAATATATCTTATCATGGGGTCATAAGAATACTAAATTACGTAAGATAAGTCTGGCTGGAGCAATGTCGATAAAATGTAATACAAATTTAGTGGTGAACATCATTATTATGTTCACAAAAGTATGTTAAAAAACAACAAAAGAAACATGAAATTGAAACACAATATAGAATACTTATTAATTCTTACTTATATTATAAATATGAAAATGAGTTGGTTTGTTATCTTATAGCGCCTTAACCAATTACTATGAAATTTGGTATACACATATTATATGGGATGGAAAAAGATATAGACTACTTTTTATTTCAGTCAGTAAATATACCTTAGTCACATCGGGAGTGGGGGGAAAGGGATTGTTAGTAATGGAAACAGAGAATCCCATTGCTAGCAATACACCCAACCAGGTCGACCTTCTCACGGTTCCCCCTGGAAACTATCATGATTAATTCCAGATGAATTCATCATGATGGGCTAACAGGCATGTTATCATCCTCATAGATCACCATTCACTGTATCCCGTTAGTGCAGGCGGGGTTACCATTCCATTTTCATCCAATAAAAAAAATTACCCTAGTCACATGGACAAAGTCGCTAGTAAAAGTCAGTATATGAATTTTGGTGAAAATTTTAATAGTAATAACACTAATTTCTAGAATCAGTTTTTAACTAGATGGCTGATAAGCACAGGGTCCATTAATTAGTTTTTAATTTTCTGATTTTTTATTTATTTTAGTGAAAAATAAAATATTAATTTAGTTGAGATTTTTATTGAAACCAGCCCATAAATATTTTTTGTTTTTATAAGATAAAAATGGCAAATGCAGCATCTCCTTTGCTAGCAATAACTCCATCAGGCTGTATTCTGCATGACCTCCTAAAAGTCATCCATCATGATTACTTTTCAGTAAAATTTTCCAGATTGTCAGCCAATTTAACTTCATCCTCACTTATCTTCTTTTGCGGGTGCTTTGCCAGCATATACATCAATATAGAAATGAGAATGGATTGGTAACCCTAAAGCTATCAAGCCCAGGCAGGGTTTGCATCCAATCATAATATTTCTATATAAAAATTTAGCTCTTACCTGATCTCTTCATCGGTATGCAGATGCTCTGTGTAGAAACTCTTGATTTTCTCCTCATAGTTAGGGAGACACTCCTTCGAGCAAACAATCTCATCCTCATATGTGTATCCCCTTTTCTCTTTCAAAGCTTGCAACACGCCATCCGTTGCATAAGTGTCCACATTTAACTGAAATTTTATAATATTCTATTCACTATGAGACTAATATTGACCTATTCTGGTATCCAATAATCTTAACATATTTTTATATGGTATATTTAGTCAACAATCTTGGCATTTTTGGATTGAAAAATTTTAATAAATTTTAATTTAAAGATAAAAATTTTAAAAAATTAATCCATAAAAAATACTGACTTCAATTGTGGCAAAACCAGTTATATTGTTTTAAAAACTAAACCACTGAACTGATTTTGATAAAATTTCTATGGGACAAGTCTGAAGGTATATCTTTTCACATAAAAATGTATTTTCCAAATCTCAATTGTAATGTAATGTAACAAAAAAAAAATAACTGCATAGACAACATCCTCCTTTTTTTTTAAGTAAAAAAAAAACTATTTTTATTTTCATAATGACTATTTTCAGCTTTGAAGATAATAATGACCTATTAATATTATTAATGAAAAAAGTGTGTTTGTTTGTTACCTATTAGCATCTTAACAGATTAACCAATCACTAAGATTTTGTATACAGATAATATACGGGATGAAGAAAGTTCTTTTAACAGAGTCAGTCAACATATCCTGTTCATGCAGATGAAGTTATGAGTAAAAGCATTATTACTAATAATATATATATAATATCCAGGTACAGTTCGAAATATACATATATTTAGTAATATTTTAAATAGATTTAATTTGCAACATAGATTTTAAAACTAAATATAAATAAAATAGTACTTAAAGGAAAAATGCGTCATCTAGGTCAGCGGATACGCTTAGGAGCAGTTACCATGCAACGGCAAAGTGTAAAAGTTAATATAGGCGTAAGGGTCAGATCTACAAATCTCAAAAGAACCAAATATTCCAGTCATTTAATTTTTGGGCCCTTGAGTCTTAATATAAACAGACTTACTTTAAAATATTCCACTCCCGTTTTCTTATATAATTCTTCAATAGAGATGTATTCTGGAGGATTCCTGTGGTGTTCCAGCCGCTGATCGGATGCAGAATCATCATCCATGTACCAAGCTTTGACCATTGTCGTAACTTTTTCTTCGCAACAACAAATAAATAAGTAAATAGATAATAAATGAAAAAAATACTTTAAAATACAACGAATAAGGACATAAGTACCTTTAATTTTTATTATTATTTAAAATTGCGTTGTATTGCTTTAGAATTCAAAGATTGTAAAACAGAATAGCAATAAAAATTGATTAAATTGATGTCAAAATGACAAATTGTGAACGAAATTAAAGTAGGCAATTTAAACAACTGACAGTTGATTGACGTTCAGTTTATGGCGTGGATCTAAGGAACAAGAAATTACAAAATCCTAGTATGTGACCCTAAGAACAAGGAATTACATAGAAGGAATGATAAAATAAAAACGAAAAAGAAAATGTTTGTTATATCAATCATTTATCAATGACAAATTTTATGTATGTTATGGTATGTTAGCAGGTTGTATTTGAATTTGGTAGGAACCGTATAACGGTTGTACATACAGATGGGCAAAGCACCGGGTTTAAACCCGGTGCTTTGGTAAAAACCCAATAAACACCCATAAACTCCCATAATCACCCAAAAAAATAGGTTTTTACGTATTTTTTTGAAAATATGTAAGTAATACCAATAAATTATTTTTATAAATTGTATTGATCAATTCTACAATATTAAATAAAACGTTAACTAATAATATTTCAGGAAATTTTAAAAATCTATATATAATAAAATGAAAGTAATTAATTTTCAGTGTTTTCATGTTGCAGTTGATCAACATGTTGGCCTTTTGCTTCCCGTAGATACTTTAAAATTTCTTCATAACACCTCGTTCGCACACATGGCCGTATATATTTAAATTCTTGAGCCACTAACAGTCCGAAATACTCATTTCTTTTATCCTCTTCTCCATAAATTAAGCATTTAGAACAGTTTGTTTCTTCTTTCAGTAAATTTTCTTTTACTTTATCCTCGTTTTTTTCTTTGTTGCGACGACGCTGGGTAAATCATCTGGACACTGGGTCTCACTATCGCCAAATATATTTGGAGATCGGCTTCGGCTACGGCTTGGCAGACATTTTTTTCTTTCTACAATTTTAAATTAAATTTATTAGAATAAATGCTTCGAACACACGCGATCTAAGTACCTTTTGTGTTTATTATACCTTACCTACCTAGGTATAAAAAGAGTACTTACGTAGATTTTCTTTTATTAACTGTTTTATACGAAGATCTTGATCTCTCAAATTAGCATCCATTTTACTTCCAGTGATTATCAACTAAATTAATAATCCACAAAGTATTAAATAACGTTTTTATGAAATATTTAGCACAAAAACAATACCCTTTAAATATCGATCGTCAGTAACTGTGGCTGACTTACCTATATTCTAGCAAGCAGGACTGCCAGATGTGAAGGGGAAATCCCCAATAAATTGTTGCATGTGACTGATGATGTGAGCATGTTCGTTTCATAATAAAAATGTTGCCAGGTAACCAAAAAGTCGTATGTTTTTGTGCGAATTACGATCATAATCTTTACGATCGTACATTAAAAAATAGACAAATAATAGTATGAGTACGATTTAAATCGTATATCTGTCAACCCTGCTAGCAAGACAGCGACAAAATCACGTTGCATAACAATGTAGCCCAAGCTTATATCTTATGAAATATACGGAAGAGATACGGACTTAGAAAAAACAGAAATGTTGTTCTTTGTGGAAGTCATTGATGAAATTCTATGTATTTTAGCCCGCAAACTTTCTTCAAACAAAAACAGCGCCATCTAGTATCGAGTTCTGTAATTATCTCTTTGTTTATGGATTTGAAGTAAGACCGCCACGCATGCAATACATTATGACTGGGGATTCCCCTATTCGTCGACGCTGAATATGAGGCGACGACAATCACTGTCAAACGTGTTCACTATTACTCTGACTCTGGTAACGTGACTTCCTGGTAACGTGTTAGGTAGGAAAAGCAGTAAAAAAGTGCATATTAAGGGAGCAGATTTGAAATAATATTTATACTTAACAAGAAATAATTAAAGGTAAGTGGATTTTTGAATGATACAATTATATCATGATCACTTAACAATTTTAACTTAAAATTAGATGTATTATTACAAGCTTTTATTTAGCTTGCGTTATGTAAATAAAAGTATGTAGGTATGTTCGTATGTTGATGCAATTATCCTCAATCCTCAACCGACTGGGATAAAATTTTCCATACACGTTTATTTTGGATGATAGTGCATAGTTAGCTGAGAGTCGTCATTGGATAATAATGGTGGATAGCCTAAGATGTGTACTAGATATTTATTTTTAACATAATATGCGTAAGTACCTAATCGAATTAAAGAAGTTGCTGAGAAAAATACAGAACAATACGATAATAAACTAGCGTCTGCGTTTAATCCTCCGAGGAGATGTAATTTTACAAAGGTTTTTTGTATTTATTTTATTATTTTTTTAATAAATTTATTGTAAATAACAAGAAATAATCATTGTAAAAAAATAGGCACTCTATTGTTGAATTTTCGTCAGACCAACTAATCATCGTTCATTTTTTTAGGTTCAATGGGGAGACCTAAAGATTTACGCATATGGGAGCACTACCGTACTTTACCAAACAAGTCTGTTTCTTGCAAGCTTTGTAATAAGGTCTACAAATTCAGTAATGCTGCCAAAATGCTTCAACATCTTATCACTTGTCCAAAATCTCCAGAAACATTAAAAGACTCTATGAAACTTATAAAAGATAGCTCGTCCAAAACCAAAATGTCTGGACTGTCAGAGATAGAGACAAATGATTCTTTTATAAGCCCCTCGTCGTCTGCTAACACTACAATAAATGCTGAGTTTCAAGACACCGATGATCATATAAAAACAGAATTAGCGAGAGCTATATTTGTAACAGGGACGCCATTATCGATGGTGCAACATCCTTTATGGATACAATTTTTCGAAAAATTGCAACCAAAATTTAAAATACCTTCACGTAAAGCTTTAGCGACAAAATACTTAGATAAAATATATAGAGAAATGCGTTTTGAGTTAAATGAGGAACTAAATGCTTGTAGTTACTTACACCTTCAGTGCGATGGCTGGTCTAATTTAAGAAATGAAGGAATAATAAACTTTCTTATATCAAAACCTCAACCTGCATACGTTAAAAGTTTGAATACAGAAAGTAATCCTCACACTAGTGAATACCTTAGCCAAGAAGTTGAAAAAGTAATGAAAGTGTATGGAGCAAATAAGTTTCTTGTACTTATTGGCGATAACGCTAGAAATATACAAAAGGCATTCGAATTAACAAAACTCAAATATCCACATGTTGTTCCTCTCGGTTGCTGTGCACATATCCTTAACTTGTTGTGCCAAGATATTGTAAAGATACAAGAAGTAACTGTGTTTATTATGCAAGCCATAAATATAATAAAAACTGTTAAAAGGAGTCAACGATTAAGTTCCTTGTTGATAAAATCAAGGCAGGGTGAAGATTCTACACAAACACTAAAATTGCCTTGTGCTACAAGATGGGGAAGTCATGTTACTTCGTTAAAAAGTTTGAAAGCAAATAAGATAGCTTTGCAAATATTAACAGTTAGAGAAGATGTGGTAATTTCAAGAGATATTAAAGATTTAATTCTAAGTGATGATTTCTGGACGAAGACAGGGGAATGTATAAGTATTTTGGAACCAGTCACTGAAAGCATATTTTACTTAGAGAGCGACCAGAATTGTTTGCATCGCACATACATTACATTTAGAGATGTACAAGCTAAGATACGTTTTGCATTAAATGAGATTTCGACATTGAGCGAAGAAAGCAAACAGCAGATTCTAACATCAGTATCTTCAAGATGCAATATGGCAATGAGGCCAATACATTTTGCAGCATATATTCTAGACCCCAGGACTCTAGGAGTCGAACTTACTCAAGAGGAAGAACTTAAGGGTATGGAGTTTATCTACAATTTAAGCCAACACTTAAGTTTGTCAAATGTAATGGCAGATTTGGCGTGTTATAAAGCTAAAGAAAACTTTTGGGCCAGAGGATTTGTATGGAGCTCATTAGATAGCATTGAGCCCCTAATATGGTGGAAAGGTATTTGTGGTTCCACTGAGTTAAGCAAAGTAGCGATTCGTATTCTATCAGCTCCCTGTACTTCGGCAGCCACTGAGCGTTCCTTTAGTATCCAAGGCTACATACATAATAACAAAAGAAATCGACTTACAACTGAAAGAACTGAAAAAATTTCATTCATTTGTTATAACTGGAATCTTAAACATAAAGCTGAATGCGAGGACATTCAGTTTAATGAAGAAAATACCTTAGAAGCTTTCATTGAGCAAGTAAATGAACATAACAGTTTAGACGAAATAGAGCCTATCGAACCTATACAATTCATCGCTTGTAATAACTCTGAATCTGACAGTGATTGACTGTAGTTTTACATTTTACTTTCATCTCTTTCTTAATAAACTCAAAATCAAATTAAAAGTTTTTTATTCTGTAGGCTGCATAATAATATTGTCTATGTCCAGTATAGTGGACGTCTTGCGGCTGAGATGACGATGATGAAGTACAAAATCATAAACACCCAAAAATTTGGGTGTTTATGGGGTTTAAACCCAATAAACCCAAAACACCCGGTTTTTACCCACCAGACTTTAAACCCACCCAGGTGGATTGCCCATCTCTAGGTGTGACCAAATGTGTGACGTACCTAGGTACCTAGGGACAGATTGACGTTTCTCGTCTTGGGAATGACGTTAAATTTAAAATTTTTGAATTATATCTTTTGATAGAATTCAATCTGTCCTATTCTATACAGTCTGAAATTGAAATCGTTATTATCCTTGTAAGGAGTCAATCTGTTAAGATAGTATGTAATGAAGTCTCAATTTTTTTTAATTTTTAATTCATTAAATATACCTACTAATTTTATAACTATCCAATGACTTGAAAAACGTTATTAAATCAATTACACAGATTTTTGGCTATATGTTTTGCAATATCATTATCAATTTCAGATAGTTTGATGATTTTATTTAAGATGTTGTTTACAAATCGGGTTAAGAAATTCGGTATCTACATATAAAAAAGAATATTCAGATTCATTTCTTTAAATAAAAAGCCGTGAGCAAGTAAAAATAGATTTATTACCATTGATAGTGTCTAACTTATTATAACACTATTTTCTTCTCACAATCCAAATACATTTTTAATCTTAACTAGTTAGGGGTTTATTTCTTTTGTCGGCGTACTTAAAATATTTATTTTTGCTAGCACCTGGGGAATAATCGAGAAACAATACTGATTTTTGACCCATGCCACACCCTAGATTATGGCCACGTTTTATCTAAGTACTGAATATTGTAGGATTTCTTTAACTTTTTCTGTTTTATACTCGGCATAATTTAGTTAACATTTATGGCATATCTTTTTCAATATTGGGAATTTTAAAAGATAAAACAGAATATCAGACGATTAATTAACACAAAAATATTTTTATTCAAAAATTTCAATTTCAATAAAATAACATTATCTTCCAAGATTGTTTCATTAATATGCCAAATATAAAAAAAAGGGTTGTGTCTATACTTGTTATTTTTTTTAATTAAGTAGGTACTATCAGAAACTTAACACTATATCTTAATGACATGAGGAACAAATTAAATATTAAGTTATCCAAATCTGTGGACAAAGTAATACTGCATTAGGGATGTCTCAAAAAAAAATTTTTAAAAATTATGATCAGGTGTCATTCATGATCGCAGGTAACAAAAAGTACTTATGATTTTTTCTTGCCTGCTAGATAATCGTTTATTAATGAAACAAGCAGCTATAATAGTAAAAAAAATCTGAAAAGTCGTTTATTGGCGCCATATTTATTTTCAACTGACTGTCGTACGCAGCCCATAGCACTCTTATAAGATCAATTTAACGACTTCCCTTTTATTACTATTCGTGTAGTTGATCAAGTTATAAAACCAAAGATCCGACAATTATACACGAAAGTAATTTAATTTAATTTTTTTTTATAGTTCACTGAATGAAAGAGATCAAAAGATGTAATAATTGAATCTCATATCGATACCATTCAATCATGCAATTGTGTTGAGAGAATATAATCAAAATGATTGTATCAGTACAATTGTCACAAGTTTATTCTTCGATAGTCGAGTAAGTGACATCACTAATACAACATTATTTTGTCGACAGACGTTGATTCGGCAAAAATATTTTTTATCATTTGAATAATCCTGACGAGTCCTTAAACTATCCTTGTAATCCCAGAGCCGGCCGTATTTCGAAGATGCTGTTTTATATTAATTGTCATATTTAGTATATGTATGACTTTATAAGTAGACATTAGTTACACACTAGTCTTGTCTAGATCATATAAGTAGATAGACAGATTTATTGAATTTGAAACAGCAAAAGCGTATGCAATATGGCAATCTATAAAGAAAATTAAGAACATTTAATTGTTCTAGAAAAAGCAACATTGCATACAAGTTTGTTATTTTAATATCTGTATTACTAAATATATATACTAAATAGTTTGTAACTTTCAACAATATACCGGCTCTGCAATAACATTTATTCGTATTTTACAATAATGGGGCCAATTCTAAAACGTAATTTTCTGTATCCATCTTTAAAATTAAAAATTCATGTTGATATTAAAGTGAAATTATTTTGTAAGAATTTGAATGAGTCAAATGTATCATAGAATCACAAGTATCTATTTAAAATTTAGTTCTTGGTATTTGTAACATAAAACTTTCTTTAAATCTCTTAAGTTCAATCTTTAGAGATCAGTTTTAAAATTGCGTTTTAGAATCGACCCTATTATATCACAATTTTTCCTACTACATACCTATGAGATGATAAAACGTTACATTTCTGTTGACGTAATTATTAATTTTACACAAATGTAAGTTATTATAATTAATTAGATTTATTTACACTAAATAACTCTGATATGACCATTGTATATACGTCTATACACATTTATAGAATAAAAACTATACTGTATTGGGGCGATTTGACCCTTTTGTTAAATTTGATTACATAAAGATAGATATAGGTAGTACAAATTTATAATCTATTGCGAAATTTATTATAAAAAAAAAAGATCTATTTGAATGTCAAATGTGGTAATTTTGTTGCTGTTGTGATGTTCATATTTCGGTAAATATACTTTATTGGAACGTGGCGTAGGTGGGACTAATACATTTTCTCGGATTGAATTTTTTTAACTACACCCAAACTATATAGTTATTATATATATATTTTCGTTGCACTTTAAATATCGTATACATAGATATAGGTAGATATGTGTACTAGCTTAGATTAAAGATTTGAACAATACTAACCAGTGTTAAACCAGATATGGTCTCTCTACGTACCAAGCATTTTAAATCTGTTGAGTTGTTTAAGCATGATTGTGTAATAAACATCTTTATAAACTTTAACATTTCTATAGTAATAAGTAGTAAGTTTTTGTCTATCGGTGGGAAAACAATATTAGAAATAAAGTATTTTCCAACTGTGTCAATAACCCCAATACAGTTGATGTGAATAAATATCGTTTAAGTAAATATTTATGTTAATGTACTTATATATTTAAAATACATAGAGATATATTACAAGAATATCTATTAACAATTCGTGGCTTATTGGAAACATTAAATCGAAATAACTATAGACAAATAATTTTTAAATGTTTATTTTAATCTCTGACACAAAGCGAAAAGAAAAAAAAATGTCTCAATAACAGCCGTATTTATATTGTCTGTTATTACGGCAGAGTTTAACTGAAATAGCCTCTTGTTGCTATTAAAATTATATTCTGCGAAACATAACATTTGTGGTTAAAATATACATTTTTTTATATTAAATATTATCTATAGTAAATTATATAGATAAGTAAGAATAAAATTAAACAGTCCAACTAGGTTGGTGAAAATTTATGATAAAACAGAATCTTGGATAAAAAAAACTCAGAGTAGATAACAATAGGAAACTTACGCAAATTTTTGCGAAGGTGGCGCCACTTTGTTACAACGTAAATAACAGAAAAACTGTAGGTAATATCCTTAATCTATGGTCAACAGCAAATAGTCATTAGAAGAATACATACTAGCCAAAGACTCAATGAATAAAAAAAAAAGTAATTGAAAGTCTATTGACAGAATGAGTTTAAAAAAATAACTACATAAGGGCGGGATAATAAAACTTTTCATATTTTATTTTTCTACCTAGCACAACAGATCGTAGGGATTACTTGCTCTGTACAACAGACTAGATATGAAGTTGTATTAAAATGTATATAACAATGGCATCGCCATCAGTAAAAATTAGCAGTAAGCCTCTTTATTCGTACATTGAGTTTTATTTTCCAACTTGGCGATAGCCTTTTTATATCCATATTATATTGATCGTATTTATAAATTAACCGATAAATATCATAATAATTTGAATGACAAAGAAAACCAATTAGTGGACGGAAGTTGAAATCACAATCTAATAACTAGAAATCGAAGATATAAATATCGTAATGTTACCTACTTAGTACGAATAATTTCATTATTATGCATGAAAATTATATACAATACAGGGTTTTAAGGAAATAACAAAATGATTGCAAATCCTTTGCCGAGGTAGAATATGTAAAAATAAATACGTGCATTCACTTATTGTGAGATATGTTAGAAATATCTTTTTTTTATTTTTATAATAAAAAATAATATTTTCTTATTTTTTTTACGTTCAGCAAGTAGTCACCGATCGCAAGTGTGTAATGTAAGTGTAGTTATTAAGGATTAAAAGAAGAAAAAAAAAACCAATGTAAAAGATCAAAGGATTGCAGTAATTTTTGTTATCTTATTAAAAAATTTAGAAAATAGGCGTTTTCCTATAATTCAAGGTTAATCCATAGGTATATAGAGTGCCGATTGATTTGTGAAGTTAAGAATTTCGAAATTCAAAAGTAATAGAAGAACCATAGAAAAATAATATATTTATTCTATGGTTTTTCAATGCGCAAACTATAAAACGTGGTACCCTGAATAGGAAAAGTCTAAAGCTAACACACACAAACTTTTCACACACTAACATTTAAAATGATATAGTGAGATCACATCCTTATTCTAGATACATTTTATATCGGTGATCACATCCTTATTTCTAACTACATTTATAATATCTGTAAAGGAAAAAAAAAATCAATGCATACCAATCATTGGCCAGTATTATACCAATGCAACCTTCCCAGAGTGCGAAAACAAATTGCTAACCTTATTTTTGGTCCATTTATAATAAGAACAATAATTTGATGCATTCTTTTTATCTGATAATTGTCAATAAAATTTTATTTTTTAGATGTACGATTATGTAACAATTAAAACGATACAATACATGCTTTTCGAATGCAAATTCTATATAAAATGAATAATATCAATGTAAAGAAAAATTAAAAACAAAAATTGTATAAATTAAAAATTATCACAACATCACATATTTACAAGGTATTAATTTATCATAATATAAATTAAAAATAGACTATAAACTATTATAATTAAAATACAAACTGTTTCTTAAGTAATATAATTATTATATTTCCATTTGTTGTTGGTACATTACATACAATTGAATTTGTAATAAAAAAAAAAAAACACTCGACATATCTATGCTTCATGCATTTACTAGTTTAAAATCTACTCCGAATTGAATAAAGTTACTAAATAGTCCAGTAACTATTAAGTATTTTTATTCCCTTTCGAATATAGGATTAATATTGTTAGTGATGTAAAGTCACGCAGTGATTTGTATTTCAGCTATAAAAAGTGGAGTTTTGGGGTTTTACCACTACTACGTTTTCACCAAAATAGTAGTATATACTTGTACAGCGTTTATACCATGTTTAAAACATGTGATACATGTATACAATACATGTCGTAAATACAATATGTTTTGCGACACGTATTCTCCTGGTACAGGGATGGATAACATTCTCAAATAATTACTTTGCGTACTTCTTGCACACCACGTAAGAATACCTAGCGTAAAGTTACACACAGATAAACAATAAATGGGTAAATTAATATGAAAAGTTACTTTACACACACATTGATACATTTATTTCTATCTATGTTGACCTTTATTATGTTTTTTTTTTCTCTTTATCAGCAAAAAAACCACAAAGTTGTATGTAAATTTTTTAATGATTGTAATTCAAATCAAAGATTAAAAGAAAGTTATAAATGAAATTTATCTGTTATTTTTTTCCACTTTTTTGTTAATTCATGCTTTATTTAAGTTTTGTTATTTCATTATTTTTATAAAATAATTAAATAAAAAAAACATTTGCAATACTTATAAAATAGACAGCATTTTAGTTAATATGTTAAGTTCACAATTAATTATTAATAAATTTTGGTAAAACTTATAAACGTTATATCATTATGTATAAAATAATTGTCAACTAATTTTTTTAAAAGAAATTGTCCTCAGGTCGCACTACAGTTTGGTGTGCTTCACTGTGTCGGTCCAATAGTTCTGTATAGTCATAGCTTCCAATGAGTTCAGGAATGAGTCGTTGTCCAGACTGTACATCTCCTCGGAATTATCCTGGAATAACCACATAATTTTTTTTTTACTATTATCTTATCCTTCAGGGGAGAATGATGTTAGGAACAAGTGACACTAGCTTCTTTTTTAAGGTTTCACAGTAATCGTGCAGTTACAAGATCGATTTATTGTTAATAATTCAAAGATTATTTTCAAAATTCAATCATTCTTCTTTGGGCAACTTGTTTAGTTTCATGAATGTTGAATTTTAGCTTGATATACCTGTTACAACTAACTATATATAAAAGTTATTTACGTTTATAAAGTACTAGAAATCTGGCCTGGCTTTTCAAGGAAAGATTTTATTTTACAAAATAATATACGGCTTTCCATAGAAGAAAGAATTTTTAAAATCAATTAAGTAGTTTTTGAGTTACATTAGAAATCAATAATAAAATCTTCCCTTTTTAAAATATTAGTACAGATATACCACATACGTATACAGAGTTGACTTACGTACGGATCTTAATAGCACGTAGCACTTAAAAACGCATTAGAAAGATAATGGAAAATAATCACAATTCAAAGTAACAATTAACATACCCTGATAGTGCTGTCGTCAAGATACCCACTGGAGTCAGGATTTGAGCACTTGTCATTTAAAGTCTGCGGCTTGTTCAAATACCGTCGTCTATAAAGAACGAAGGCTGTACTGCCAGCTAGTGCTCCCAAGACCAAAGTAGCAAACGCAATCCCCGCTATCGCTCCTGTGTCCATTCCCCCATCACTAGGTTCTATGATCCTTCTGGAAGATTCTATATTTGGCGGTATTCGTGTCTGCAAGAACGTTGTTTCAAGTGAAAGTGGCTTCTCTGTAACTATCCTACTCTCAGCTACTCCTTCAACGTTGGCGTTATCTTTGACAAAATCCGGGCGGGTTAAGTTGCGTTTTCTAGATGCAAATGTATTATTTTGAGGTTCTGTTACATTATTAAAAATTGGTATTACTGTCACATTGATTTTTGAAGTCGTATTACTAGGAGCTTCGGTCACTGAAGCATTTCTTTCAAGCTCTGTAGTATTTACTGGCGTCCATTGTATAGCTGGATGCGCCACGTCAAGAGTAACATTGGATGTTGTGTTTCGAACAATTTTGTCAATTTCTTTAGTAGTATGGTTAGTTTCTGTTACATTGGCAGGAGGCGATCTTGTACTGGTGATTTGAGGCGTCTTAGTAAAGTACATTGCCCGGCCTTGCCTTTCGGAATGTTTGTGATCAACTTGTATGTCTGTACTTATATGTTGCAGTTCTTCAGACTGGGGTGCAGCAAGGGTTCTACCGCCGCCTCCTGAAATAACAAAATAAAATAATTAGCTCATTTTGTAATTTCTAATTATATAAAATTGTTGAGAAAGAGAAAAATGGGTCATAGAAAAGACACTGCTCACCAATATTTTATAAGATTATTAGGATTTTTTATTTAAATTAAGCTTAAAATCCTGTGGTAGGTATTTTGTAAGTGATAAAAAGCATTATTTAAACATTTAATTAGATCAAACCTGGAGAGTCGATATGCTACTAAAAATAAGTGAAAATGGATTCGTCAAGTCATTAGTTTCCAGTATGACGCACTAAGTCGATTGAAATATTACGAATTCACCCCATATGTTCGTATTGCCTAGGCTTCAAGCGTTTACGTTGTAATAGAAATAGATTTAGAAAATATTCTTCAACGAGAACTGTTAAGAAATAACTTCTTGCATAACCATGATTGTAACAAATTATGCACTAGAAATTACAGTAAAAAAGTAAATATGAATTCATTTGTACATTTGGATCAGCTTAAACATCTGTCTGGATTAGGTTATAAAACTTGTATCTCAGACAAAAGTGCTGAATCCTTATTAAATACTATATTATTAGTTATTAAATATTGTTAAATTGTCAACTAGTGACCCGCACGACTTCGCACGAGTACAATGCTGATACTAAATACCGTCGCCGGTCCCTCATTACTTTACGACATCACATTACCAGAGGGAGACTTTGTACAAAAGTCGATGGCTTGGGTAACTCTGTTCCATTCGTGTTTCTACCGCGAAGCAGTTGTGTTTGCATGGCTGTGTTTCGGTTTAAAGGGTTAGGATATGGCGTGAATTTACTTGGTACAGAGGAATAACACCTGAGTCCACGGGAATGGCAATGCATAGGGGGTATCATAGGCGAAACAGTATACTCTACTATGTCCATGGTACTACTCATGTCTATAGGCGACAGTTACCACTTTCCATCAGGTGGGCCGTCAGCTTGTTTACCATTCTAAGTTGTATAAAAAAAAATTAGAAAACTAAAATTATCAGTGTTCATCTACTATATTATGTATGTATACATGAAAACCTTCCTCTTGAATCACTCTATCTATTAAATATATTAAAGAAACTGCATCAAAATCCCTTGCTTTACAGATCTAAGCATACACAGGGACAGACAGATGGGAATCGACTTTGTTTTATACTATGTAGTAATAGGGTATTTACAAATTTATTACCACGATGATACGTCCAATGAAGTGTATATTTAATGTATGAAAGATATTAAACATATATAGAGAATTCACCAATATGTGACATGTGGGACAGACTGTAATAAAAATAAAAGAACGATAAACAACAAATGCGGTATGTAAGCTATTGTTTTTGTCTGTTTTAATACGGGAGCTTAAAATAAACATTTGCGTAGGTTCAAATTTACGAGGATTATAAACAATAGACAAAAAAGAAAGCTTAATGGCTCAGTGCGTTACGATGAAACATTTGAAATTCATGAAACGCCGATGTTATTTACATAAACGTGTGTCTTATACAATTGTCCGCTACAGTGTAAACCAGTGTTTTTCAAACTGTGGGTCGTGACCTCCTGGAGGGTTTCCAAGCCTCTATAAAGCGGGCGTGGATGGTGGTAAAGACGTAAAAAACAGGTTTGCAACGTTAAGGCCTGTTTTAGATACTTCATTATGTATTGTTTATTTATTTTATTATATTTAACTGATACTATGACAGTAAACAGTATGGCCGTGTGGTCTCGGCATAGAATATGTCACGTTTTCCTTTTCTGTGGGTGTCGTAAGAGGCGACTAAGGGAAGGCGAGATTTGACAGCAGCGTTCCTCTTAAAATATCTCCAAAGCCGTTCAAAAAATCTCAAAAAATCGTCATTCCGTCTGCCTCACTTGGCATCTAGTGGCAAAATCTCCCAAGGGAGAGCCTCATGTTCAGCACTGGACACTTAAAAGCTGATATGACAGTAAAATAAATACAGATTAGGAACTACGGAGTGTAAGGGGCCATAAAATATTTTTACATACTAAGGGGGTCGTACCATGAAAATGTTTGAGAAACACTGATATAAACAATTGTGATTAATGTATGGAAATCCCGCTTGTATTTTGGAGTGGGTTTGAAATATATTCAGATAGTATTAAATGGCTTTAAATATGCTCACGACTGTAATTCCTAATGGGGTAGTTAGAGGCATATTATGTCTATGGTTTTTGATGTGGTGAACATAAACTTTATTTTAATTTTTTTTTAGATTTTAATTTGGCATTTTAAGTTCATTATATGGATTCATTTGATTTGTTATCAATGTTCTTCATGATTTAAGGGTAAGTCAAAAACTTAGTTTTTCCTTACAGTTTTGTAGTATAGTAGTAAGCCTGGAGGTATTAAAGATTATGCACATTAATTTGCAATCTAATTAATTAGGTGATCTCATTTCGACATGAACAGTCTTTAAAGTCTCACAAAATAACAGTGTTTTTTACCATTTACTAGTATCTTCGTGGCACAATAATAAGAATCTTGCTTCGCAGAAATTAGTTCGGGTCAAAGTAATCGAAATTGTAGTTTCAGATATACGCTCAACTTGAGAACCTGTCAATGTTTTTTTATGATAGAATTAGCAAACAAGCTTATGACCAACCTTATAGAAAGTGGCATCTGTCATTTATAAACATAAATAGCACCATGAATATCACAGACCTCATGCTTTGCCATTGCTGAGGATTATGGTTTTATGCCTCCATACCCTGTATTTTTGACTGCCATATCCCATACCGAAATACAGCTATGTAAGCACAGCTATGCACATAGAGAACAAGCAAGTTGAAGTAACAAGAGCTGGTCACATAGTTCGAAGAACCGACAACTAACTAACCGACCTATGTTCAATAGTGTAAAGGTAATGGCTGAGATGAAGACGATGATGAAGCACAGCTGCTTCACGGCAATTGGTGTGATTGTCTGGCATTTATTATTATTTATATAATAAGTACTTTAACCTAGATGAGCAGTAATTAATATTCATAACGTTAACTGTATAAAGGGAAGGATATCCGACATCGGAGATACGAGCGTCGTATGGTAACACGTGCTTCCTTATCAATTTATCAATGCATATTCATTATGTTGTGTAACACTTCGGTCTGTTTGCACCTGGATCCCTATTCTGCTACAAATAAAATAGCACCTAGCCATAGTAGTTTTACATGTCATTTTACCGATCTAGGTGTTATTTTGCGGAAATCCATATCATTGGTAAGTCGAATAGAATTGTTTTTTTTAATACCGTTTAGTACGCGTGTAACTGCCGACGTTTGAAGATTGACTACTGTTATTATTAGTAGATATATATCTACTATTCCGTGTGGTCCCGGCATAGAATAGGCCACCCATTCCTTTCTTGTGAGTGTCTAAGAAGAATGGTAGAGGGATGGCCAGCAGTGTCCCTATTAAAACATCACCAAAGCCTAACTGCGGCTGCCAACCCGCCTGCTTAGCGTGACAAATACTGGCAAAAGTCTCCTTATGAGGAAGGATTATATTCAGTAGTGGATAAAGTAAACGGCTGAAATCATGATGATGATGATTATTATTATCATTCATATTAATCATGTCTGAGAGCCAACGTTAGGCTTCCAACGACGATCTATTAATTTGCTTGAAGATACCTTAGAGATAAAACACGTGTCGCAATATTTGCGTGGACTCAATAACGGTCGGAGATTTTGTTTGAAAACCAGAGGGAGACTTTGTACAAAAGTCGATTGCTCGGGTACCTCTGTCCCATTCGTGTTTCAACCGTGAAACAGTTTTGTTTGCATGGCTGTGTTTCGGTTTGAAGGGTGGAATATGGCGTGAATTTACTGAGTACAGAGGAATAACACCTGAGTCCTTAGGAATGGCAACGCATGAAGGGGGGGGGGGGATAATGGGCAAAACAGTATACTCTGTTATGTCCATGGTATTGCTCATGTCTATAGGCGACGGTTATCACTTTTCATCAGGTGGACCGTCAGCTTGTTTGCCATTCTAAGTTGTATGAAAAAAAAGATTGGTTACTAATATGGAAGTTCGTAGAACGTCTACTAAAAATAGTAGTCAATTTTCAAATGATAGCAGTCGCATGCGTAGTAATTAATGGCAGTGGAATTAAACAGTATAGTATCCTGCGCAATACTGGGCCATTTATCTATATAAAAACCACCTTATAAATAGTTATATATAAACACTTAGAAATTTATTAATTGTAAATTATTATAGAAATATTAAAATATAAAAATCATATTGTAATATTAGTTAATGTGTCAATGAAAAATTTTGAAGAAGCTGAGGTTTGAAGTCGCATTTACTACGCCGTGTTTCTAATAACCTTTCGTAGGATCGGACGTCAATTTCGTCAAGAAATCTAATAATATATTATTAACTAGCGGCCCGTCCTGGCGTAACACACGTGGACATTTTTACATTTAAAAAAGTGCCCATTAAGGCTGCACACGCGACGGAAGCTTAAAAATGGAGTAACTTCTCCCGTTTTCCCAACATTTCCCTTCACTGCTCTGCTCCTATTGATTGTAGCGTCATGAAAAGTATACTATAACCTGCCAAGGAGTATGAAGAATAATTGTATCAAGTTTCGTTAAAATCCGTCGAGTAGTTTTTGTTTCTATAACGAACATACAGACAGGCAGACAAAAATTTTACTGATTGCATTTTTGGCATCAGTATCGATCACTAATCACCCCCTGATAGTTATTTTGGAAATATACTTCGTGTACAGAATTGACCTCTCTACAGATTTATTATAAGTATAGATAAATATGTTATTATTATAAGTATAGATAATATATAAATGTTACTGAACCTAGTATACAACCTTACGTAGTTTTAAATTAAGCAGTATTTGTTTTAAGTGTTCAACTGATAGAAATACTTAAATATATACTTTATTTTGTAAATACATATATAAGAATACACCAAGCCAAATACCATCAGCGTCTGTCTGTTTCACA